AAACTTTGAGCTCTTCTGTGGTTAAAGACCGATTGATCATTAGGTGTGCAACAGACCCGACTCATGCGAACAAAGCTGGCTGACTAGTTCTAGCTTAGCGAACTGAGCTGAATCTATGATACACCTACTTAAGGTTACCGCTTCAGGATAGGGCTTTAGGATTTATGGACACTCCTATATAATAGTCCTTGAGTACCTGCAGCATAGTCGGAAGTTTTCGCGTAAGCAGGCGAACATACGATTTTTTTGTTCAGAAATGGCTTTCATTTGCTTAGAAATAACCATACATCATTCAGAGAATCATCTTTAAGAAAACAGAAAGTTTTTAAGAAAAAAATTTACGAAAAAATCTGGCTGCGGAGTAGTACCTCAACCATAATTTTCCGAAAACAATTTGTTTTGAAAAATATGTTGAGCTACATATCACTCGAAGTAGTTTAATGCGTTCATTCCGAATATCGCCATAGTTTTTCTTCAAAGAGTAATATCAGTGCCAAAAATCGGATATCCTACTGTAAAATAGCTTGGGAAATGTTTCATAAGTATGCGCCACCATCATAAGTAGGTTACATATGTAAGAATGTCTGGTAAAAATGCGCGCTCGATTCGACGTTTTCTCTTTGTAGTGCTTACAATATATGGAACGATATGTTTTCAGATAGGTTTTGGATCCCGAGATCCTTTGTCTTCTACTCTATTTTAAATTAAATCTGGACCACTTTTTTTTAAACATAAGGTCTACCCATGAGAAAGCTTTTTGTGATATTGTTTGCTTGTGCAATATTGTTTCATATAGCCTAGCAGCTTGACTTTCTTTATTTTTGCTGAATTTCTGAAGTGCAAGCCTTGGCGAGCTCTTTTCTTGGGCTTTATAAAACTTTGAGAACCGCTATTTTAGGAAATGATAGATCACATATGCATGTATCTACGCAAATGGTTAGATTCTGGAAAAGAACATTTTTGCACATGTCTGCCTGGCTCGCCACTGTAACAGCTATCAACGCTTGCTGATTCAGCGTTACTTCGCCTGTGTATTGACTTTGTGTTGTTCTACTTGTAAGTTGAATAAAATCCACTGATGACAGCTAACAAAGTGCTCCATTCTTCATTTTCTTATCAAATATGTATTATGCAAGTGAAGACTGCTATTCAAGTGTGTTGTGTGCAAAGTCATCGACTTTCCGCGAAAGAAGAATAAAAGCATGTGCACCAACCAACTTTTTTCGCTCTTTCTGCGATTAATTCCTGTGACACAAACGACATACTGTATCATTGTTAAAAAATAAAACAGGGGTTCATGGTGTCTTGTCGAGCCTGTTTGAATACATAATATATCCATTGTAGGCTTCTTAGCTAATTGGTGATCAAAGAGCATAAAAATAAAACTTTTGGAAAGTTCATTTCTCAAATCGATGCGAATCTTTAAGAAGAGCTCGTAATGGTACAAGACTCTCAAGTAAAAGTCCCCAAATAATCCATACCGTTTCTGTTGATATTTCGCGTATATGTAGGATTCGATGAGATTAGAAAAAACTTAAAAGAATAACAGCCCATAGGCTTTCCTTCTCAAGTTATGATCATTTTACTTAGTTTACCACCTAGCACAAGGGATTCAGCGAAAAATCAAATTGAGAAATTTCGATCTGAAATTTTGTCCACATGCAAGTCTTATGACATATATATTAGCCTAAAAGTTCCAGTCAAAACAAACGCCTCTTTCTCGAAATATTGCGTTATCAAGAAAACATTACTGTGCTACATACATGTCATGAAAATCGACTTCTATGGAAAAATCAATATTTCACGACAGAAGCATTTGTTTTGACTGCAACCTTAAGCCTAATATATAGGTCATAAGACTTGCATGTGTACGAAAGTTGATTTTTCACTGAATCCCTTGTCATAGGTGATAAACCAAGTAAAATGATCATCATTCGAGAAGGAAAACTTATGCGTCGTTATCTTTTTAGGTTTCTTTCTAGTGTCATCAAACTATACATATGGGCAAAATATCAACAAAAACGGCGTGCATCCGTTGGAGAACTACTTTCTTCAGTAATTTTGATGTTGACCTTGTCGAATTCTAGTCTGTAGTCGACTTACTAATGATCAAAGAGCTAGAATGAAATGAGTCGTACAAGGGTACCCTTCGAAATAAGATAAAAAGTAAAATCAATGGCTGGTTCGAAGGGATTGAAAATTTCCAAAATACAAGCTACAAGGAGACACTATCGATCTTAACATGAGGGCGTGAAGAGGCCTGACATCATTCACACCAACTGTAACCATTACTCTACTGTTTCACATGATCGAGAAGGTTTTTAACTTGAAGAAGAATGAAGGCATGCGGGTGTGGCTGTGGAAGTGGGTGGGTATGACTGTGGGTCTGAATGTGGATGTGAGTGTGTGGGTGTGGGTGTGTGTGCGGGTTGGCGTGTGGGTGTGTGTGCGGGTTGG